GATATCCCGGCTCAGAGCAGCCAATGCACAGAGAGACCATAAGGCCAGCCCCACTATGAGACACGACATCCCTCACTGATGCATAGCCCTACAGGGGACAACAGTGGAGACACAGTGTGGGAATTTTGCCCAATCTGACCCCATCACACTGAGGCAAAAAACTAAGGGTGTGCAACAGAGGAGCAAGGTGAGCAGAGCAAGGAAGTCCCAAGGGAGTACCAAAAATAGACTTTGGGGCCAGGGCGTGGCACCCCATCAGACTCTACCGGAAAATACTCGTAAAGGTCAACAAACAGACCTTGATCTATTACAGGCTTTTCTTTCTTTTGTCATTGGTTTTTTGTTGTTGTTTTGTTTGTTGTTTTTTGTTGTTGCTTTGTTTTGCTCTGTCTTGTTTTTGTTCATATTAACTCTGCAGGTTTATCTAGATAAGATAGGCTGGATAAACAATCTAAAGGAGAAAACAATGGGACCCACCTTTACCAGGGGGACATGGGAGAGGGGGAGGTGGAGGAAAGGAAGTGGTGTTAACAAACCCAGGGACAAGGGAACAACAAGGATCCAAATTGGTGGTGAGGTGGGTGTGGGAGGCCTGGTAGGACATGATCAAGGGCAGTATATCCGAGAGGAATTACTGAAACTGAAATGAAGGCTTTGCATGATAGTGTGACAAGAGGAAAGTAAAAGGAAATAGAGGAAAGAACTAGGCGACAAAGGGCATTTATAGAAGTTTAAATACAGGCACGTACATATGTAAATATATTTATATGTAAATATATATGATGATGATGGGGAAATAGATCTATGTGCATATATTTATAGGTTTAGTATTAAGGTAGTGGATAGAAATTGGGCCTCTACTCAAGTACTCCGTCAATGCAAGAACACTGTTCTATTAACCTGGCATTCCATGATGATCACTGAAGACAAATGGGTGCATAAGCAAATGTGGTGAAGAAAGCTGATGGTGCCCGCCTATCAAAAGATCTAGCATCTAGGGTCTTAAAGGCTTGAAGGTGAGCAAGCGGCCATCCAGCTGAGAAGCAACATGGAAGAAGAACACCAGCCTGTATGATCAGGAGGTGTCGAAGGGATCAGATATCAGGCATCAAAGAACAAAAAATCATATCGTGAATTAGGGGGAGTGCGGAGTGGGGACCCAAAGCCCATCTGTAGACAACTGGACATCCCCTTACAGAAGGGTCACGGAGGAGATGAGCCACTCAAGGTGCAGTAGAGCACCGATGAAACATACAACAACTTTCCTCTAGTTCTTTAATGCTTCCTCCCCCCACTATCATGATACCAATTCTACAGTAGAAATCTGGCTAGACCAGAGGATGTACACTGGTACAGATAGGAACTGGAAACACA